ACTGTAAGCACTTCCTTCAACCGCAGCCCAACTACAGTTTCGCAATGATTATCTTTATTGTGGAGGAGATCAGCCTGACCAAAGCAGAAGTTGCGGCGGCCGCATCCACTCAGTTTCCATTCCCTAACAATCATTGGTAAGCTCACAATAAGTCTGGTAAAGTTGTGAATATAAGCTTCAATAGTTTTTTGTGGACCCATCACTCACCTTTTTTAATAGACTAATCGTCTAAATTAGGTACGATTATGAATGAGTAGATGCTTTGTCTTTAACCATAAAAATTAGGGCCTTGTTAATAGCGTATTCTTACGGCATTAGGAATTTTCAACATAAAAACCCACTAAATTTCCATTTCAATTGCGAAATTTTGTAGTGGCGGTTATTTCCATCAATTATAAAAATTAGGCAATAGCTTCTCAAAGCTTCCGGGTTTAATGTCTAGGACCATTTCCAACTGAATACCAACATCACTTACAACTATATCCTTTCTAGGAAACAATTCATTCGCCATCGATGAGGGATGTCAATAGCGTATTTGTCTCAAAAACGTTTTCCATGTCGTCGAAGCGTGTGGGTTCGTACATCTGTCAAATGATTGCCGTCAATACAACTTCGACTGAGGGATGGACGCTGACAAAGTGGCTACGCCTGGAGCTCTACCATGGCAAAGGGTGTGAGTTCTAATTGATTGGGGACTCTCTTCACGGTTTTGATTTCATGAGCTATCATTCCCTGGTTCCACCCAAGCTCGGTTGCGTGTGCTGACGAAGCAGCAGTTAGGGTGCCTCTTAACTGAATCCATGTGCCATGGGGTTTCCTCGTCCCTGCCCCAACTTTGCCCCAGATCGTATAAGGTGCCGTACGCAGACTCTGGAATCTCCATCCAGTTACATAAATTTAACCGACGTTGATAATTGTTACATCGGGGCATTAAGAAGGATCGTTGGGTCATTAGGGATTAAATGTCTTTTTCCTTATGAGTTTGCTGCTTTTGACTCCTCGGTTTGGTCATTCGTGGCTTGTTCGGCGAAGATTCGTCAATGTTCTGTTTTGGTCAGTCTCAATCTGTCCAATCGCTTTTGTAGAGTAAATTACTTTAGTAATTAAGAGTTTAGAGCCTCGTCGTTGAAGTGGAGGTAGTGATGCCGTATCTTTCCTGCACTATTGTGTCCAAATGGCGTAAAGAGTTCTGCCCAAAAGTATAATTTGCAAAGACTAGTCATGTGAGAGATTTGTTGTGGGAATAAAATCGACAACAGTTAACTGTTGGCCTATGATTTAACAATATTATTTCTTCTATTTATACTTTTGGCATTATGGTATATTTAAGGACGAATCGACCAAGTAAAGAAGCCGAATCCGGTGACTTCGTAAAGCGCGTTTGCGCTGGAAATCTCATTCATTCTTTGTCGCGGTATGACCGCGTATTGCCTCAGGTCATGGGCAAGATCCTTCCTCTCCATCTAGTTCAAAGAAATGTTGAAGGAAGGAGCCTTTAATTAAAAAGTGCAAACAAATTGCCCTTCCCGAGAGACAATACTAGCTCAATCGCATAAGCCTCCCACAAACATCCGAGCTGAAGCAGCTGAATCTGAAGTACTGTACCATAATTTATTTTATTCAGCAGATGTTACATTGGCTGTAGGCTATGCCTTCCTGTCAGTGGATTACCACCTATCAGAGGCCGTAGGTGGGTATTTTGAATAATTTGAGTGGTCCTTGCTTGGGATATGGTAAGATATAAGCACTCAAGACTAACTCTTGGGGCTTTGTTAATTTTCAAATAGCAGCCTTACAAGGCACAAATGTTAGAAGTTGAAGAGTGGTTTCCCTTTTAGCTTTCAAGTGCGTCTGACCCTTTCTTTGCCTTTGGTGGTCTGCCGATCTACCTTTTCCTCATATGATACTGCACTTGTCGATGTCGACGAACGATTTTGAAGCGTGTGCTCATCGAGAAGTCGTCGCTTTACGCCGCAGGAGCACCCATGTCATGTAAGGGGCACCACCCTGCCAAGGTGACGCTAATTTTCGAGCCTTGTCCTTGCCACCAAACTCTTCTTAAGGGTTTT